AGGCCCCGCCCACTTTGGTTTTCCGGACGCGTCGCGGTCGGCGCGTCGCGTGTCAAGGTGAAATTTCAAAATGGGCGGAGACTAGTCGTGTTTGGGCTCATTTTGAAGCTCATAACAAGCCTGAATGATTGACACTGGTCTTGGGCTCATTCTGACTGGATCAGCATGATAAAAACTAGAATTTAAACTTTCATTAAAATTTTCCAACAAAAAATTGAATTATCTAGCCCTATAACTCAGACAATAAACAGAAACATCAGTCCATGTCTGCGTCTCTCCAGTTTTCTTAATCTCTACTTTCCACGTGGAGTCATCACAAAAGATACGAGACGTGGCACTGATCATTGAGGTCATTGTCCCATTAAAAACCGCCCACGCATCTGAATCCCATGTGTTAGAGTATGATGTGCAGGTTACTGTAACGTCACTACAGTGGTTACTGTAGTCGATACGGTCGACGGGACCCAGGGTCGCATACAAGTCGATGGAGAAGGATCCTTCGGTTTTGTAGGATTCGTGAAATTTGGAACATGAGCAATCTGGGAGGAATTTTTTTTAATTTTTCAGAAAACACTTTAAAATACAAGTTCTAGCAATCAATTCGCAAAAAAAAAGCATCATTCTAGGCCTATTCTACCCCGAGATACAGGCATTTTTGCATTTAAGAGAGACGCAGAGAAACGAGAGCGCTCTCGTTTCTCTGCGTTTCTGCGTCTCTCCAAAACTTCAAAGCGCTGTATCTCAGCTCCTCGATAAGCTAGAAACTTGATTTTTGGCGCATTTTGATTGTCAGAATTTGAGCTTTCAGATAATGAATTTCTTAAAGTTTTTCTACTCCAAACTACAGTAATCTCGCGAAACGCCAAAAGGAAGAGATTGTACAAATCATTTTCAGTCGAATTTTTCTGGTTTTTAGCTTAAAATTTATGAAATAGACAAAAATCCAGGGAACGAATTTGAGCTTTTTTGGATAAAACAGAAAAATAGGAACATTTCGAGACCAAAATCACAGTTTTAGGATGCCTAGGAGCAAAGTTACGACTGTTCAAAGTCTAGGAAGGCGAGAGCGCAGACAGCTAGAGTGTCTAGCTGTCTGCGTCTCTTGTGATCTTTGAAAACCTAGGTTAGTATTAAAATACATCTCCTAGCGATTAATTTGCAAGAAAAACCATCGTTCTAGGCCTATTTTTTCGTTGTAGCCATTTTGAGAGACGCAGAGAAACGATAGCACTCTCGTTTCTCTGCGTCTCTCATTTACAAAAATAGCTCTAACTCGCTTTACGATTGTGCTAGAAACTTGATTTTTAGCGCATTTTGAAGGACAGAAAAAGGGCTTTCAGCTGATATACAATTCGGTTGAGGTTTCGTTATTCAAAACTACAATAACCCTTGTTCTTCGGGTCTCCTTGAAGTTTGGTGGAAATTTCTGGACATAGGAACTATCGATATTCCTGATTTTTCAGAAAACAATTTCTAAAAACCTACCAATATGAGTGTGAACATGACCAAATGCACTAGATCTTTGAAGAATCCATAGGATTACTGTAGCTAGAAAATACAAAAATGTGTTCATTGTTCTAAATTCAGGAAATCCGATTTAGAATGATTACATATTATGTAGGTAGCCAGCAAAAATTAAAACCAACAAAAAAAAAACTAATTTGAATTGTAAATTAGCTGATTAATTAAAAACTTTGACCAAATTTAAAAATTTAGCGATTACTGTCATTTTTGGGCTCACTGTTTGAGCTAGCGACCGTCACGCGACGCGTCCAAATTTCTTGGCTCGGTGCCAAATTTCAAGTCCTCTTCGAAGTCATGGATATACACACCTATTTCGCAAGACTATCTTCTTCAGATGACGTGAAATATCCCCTCTCTCTCTCTCCCCAAAAAGTGATAAATTTCAACATGATAGATGATTAATCATATATTTTCCCACCATCTTCATTTTCCCCCCTCTCTCCATCTGAATACCTCGACGTCGACGTCTTCTGAATTCGCGTGTCGGTGAATATTTGAGTAGTGCTGAGGTGAGGAGCTTCAAGAGCCTCCTCATATCATTCCTCTAGATACCCCTCTCCAAAAGTTTTCGTAAAGTTTTGTTTCAGCAATAATGGTAAGTAGGAAAAAACCTGTAAAAGAAGGTCCCTCAGGCTTTGGGGGTACTGTAATTTATGAAAAAACGATGTAACTCGGTCAGTTTTAGTTAAAATTTTATGAAATTTATAATTTTATGTTTGTCTTGTTAAGAGCTTCAAAATAAGTATAATCATGGCATATTTAGGAAAATTCCTCTAATTTGGTTTTGCTCTATGCGCCTTTAAAAAGTAGTTTCCCGTAATTTCGCAAATTTTCCCCAGGAAAACAAAACCTAGGACAATTTTAAGCTACAAATTCAAATTCCCCGCGTATTTTTACCCCTAATATGGCGCTTCTTTTTCGAGTGATTTGCGAATTTCGGTGTTTGCACAGAATCGGAGCTACAGTAATCCTGGAAAATTAAAAATTGAGTTAGAGACGCAGAGAAGACGAATTCTAGGCTAGATTTTTGTGCTGAAATTGACTTTGACGTTGTTTTTAAGCTATTTCAGATCGTTAAGGCTGAAAACTAGAATGAAAAAAGGTCACATTTCACAAGTTATGGGGGTCATTTTCGCCCTAAAATAGTCCAGAACCGATCCAAATCATATATCATTCAAACCGCCCAGATTTGCTGGTCCCAAATTTTCAAATTTGAAGGCTCAGACTTTAAAAAAAAGACTTTCAGCATACATTTTTTCAGATCGGTTGGACACACGTGTGTGTGTCCACACTAATCCTCCGCAAGTATGGTCCCGAGGTTCTCGAGGAGATTTTGTAAGTTTCCGGGAAGTTTCTTAATGAAAACAGAAGCTACGACAATTTTGAACTACAAATTCAAATTCCCCGCCTATGTTTACCCCTGAAAAGCTTCTTTTTCGAGTGATCTGCGATTTTGGTGTTTGCACAGAATCCAAATTACAGTAATCCTGGAAAATTCGAAAATTGAGTTAGAGACGCAGAGAAAACGAATTCTAGAGTAGAATTTTGTGCTGAAAATGAATTCGGCATTATTTTTAACCTATGTATTCATTTTCCGAAGTTTCCAGAAGAAAAGCCGGCTACACAGAAGACATTCAATTCGACATCCAGTGCTATTACGATGACACCGAGACTATGCGCATTTTCAGAGTTGCTGCTCAAGTTTTGGGTAATTAGGGGAACCAATTAAGACACTAATTAAAAGAGAATAATTCAGGATTATCCGTTGATGACATGTGGGAGATGTATGGAGAGTTTCTGATCACTCATGCTTGCGAGACTGGTTGGCAAAAGATGTTGTTTTGTATGGCTAACAATCTACAGGTACGCTTTGAAGCAGGAATTACTGTAATTTTGATTTGAACAAATTGTATATCATCTGAAAGCTGAAAGTCTGACAATCAAAATGCGCCAAAAATCAAGTTTCTAGCTCAACTAGAAGCCGAGATACAGCGCTTTGAAGTTTTGAAGAGACGCAAAGAAACGAGAGCGTTCTTTTAAAGCGGATTACTGTAAACTTAGCGGAATTAACTACAACAAATTATATATTATCTCAAAGCCTTTGTTTTGACAATCAAAATGCGCTAAAAATCAAGTTTCTAGCTCATTTAAGAGCTGAATTACGGCGCTTTAAAGTTTTGGAGAGACG